TGCAAATCCAAGAAAATAAGGCATCATTAGCTTCTCTGCTTTATGTACTATGACATTGTTGAATGATTCATTCCCATAGCTTTCTACATTATGTCTTTTGTACACCGTTGTGTTACAAAGGGAGCAGCTTCCTGCAGCCACTTCTTGCTCTGATGTTGCTATCTCCTATTACTCCTCAAAATACTGGATTGAACAGGGCACTGGCAAGAGCATCACTAAGGATCAGAGTTCAAGCTTGCTTTTGAGTAAGAATAGTCATTGTGGGAACACATCCTTGATGACATCTGTTAAATGTAACATTGGTGTGATAAATAAAATTGTCTTGGTTGTGGGCAAACGCTCTGAAACTAGAAGATCTTCCTGATCAGCTAGTAAAACATTAACGTAGCTCTTGTCTGTATTGTCTGTGGAATTGTGCATAAAATTTGCTAGCTAGCACATCCTCTTGATGTTACATTTTCTCAGAAGATGAGAGGGTGCAGAATGTTCTTCCCTTTGCATATGGCTCTCCTTTCTGGGTTTCTTCCTTCCTTATTTTTCAAAACAGGCGTAAACGATTGTTAATGAGCATTGAAAAAGGAGCCTGCAGAGCCAAGACAACTGTGAGGCAGAGAGGGAGCAAAGTTGGTAATTCAGACTGTTTATGTGTTTCAGGGAGGCTATCTAAACTGCTCTACATGCATTATAGCTCACCAGGTGAATGGCAGCACCATGCTGGTGTCCTGGCTGCCCCCTTCTGGTGTAGGGCTCTGCAGGGACTGCTGAGAGCTTGCCAGCTTTCTTTGAGTCAATGCTATTGGGAAAAGCTAGATAAGGGAAAGAGACATAGTGGAAGGACAGCAAAAGGAAAACTGAATTAAACACACAAGAGGCATTTAAATTAGAGCATCCTGATGCGTGTTCCACATGCATTGTTCCTATGTTCAGGCAGCACTTCAATATTTTGGATTTCCTTAGTTTCAGCTCTGTTCTGCCTTATCTACCCACTTGCCTCTTGGGCTTTGTCATATCTTTGCAGTAATCTTCTCTCCCCGATCTCATCCACATCGGCAGTTCAGATCATCACGGGTGGTGGGAACATGGTGTTCTTTGAGCTCAGCTGCTCTGAGCATCACCAGAGAGTTGCCTCACTTCAGGCTTATACACACATGGAAAATCTTTTCTCATTAATAATGAGCAGTGGAAAAAAAACTAAAGAAAGTATTAAAAGGCATAGGTCTGATGCCCTTATATAAAAGCATTTTAGAAGCTTATGCTCTCTAAGCACTATTAGTAAAAATAATTGCAAGATGAGTCAAGAGAGGTCATGGGGAAAAAGATCTGCAAACCATTCCATGACAAAACAGAAAACAACCAGAATTCAGGTATTTATTCCAGACACACTCTGCTAAGAAAAATTCTTCCTTATCTCTTTAAAACTCTTCTACAGACAGACTTTCTGTTAAATGAAAAAAAAAAAAAAAAAAGAAAAAAAAAAGAAACAGTACTCTAATTTATTGGGATATTTTGGATGAGGTAACACCCATGTGGGGAATTGAATTCCCTGCACAGGACGGTCAGTTGCTGTCCAAATGGCAACAGGAGCTTCTATTGTAAGGGTCTTCATAGAATCATAGAATGGTTAAGGCTGAAGGGACCTTCAAAGGTCATCTAGTCCAACCCCCCTGCAAGGAACAGGGATATCTCCAACTAGATCAGGTTGCGCAGGGCCTCGTCCAACCTACCCTTGAACGTCTCCAGGGATGGAGCATCCACCCTTGCAATGGAGTCCTCAGCTGCATCGCATGAGGCTTTCTGAACTCTTGTTCTCCTGAATTCTGGTAATCCAGATGGTCCTAGGTGCCCACTACGTACCATGATCTGTTGGCAGTGATTACTTTAAACTGTGCACAAAGCATTTCTTAACTATTTTAGCTGGCTTCAAGAGACTGTTGTGTGTGACCATTTCTGCATCTGCAAGAACAGTTTCCACACACCATCTACAAGTATCTTACCTATGTGCAGCTGAATCCATTCTACAGCAGGAACTGCCTGAGAGGAGCCCACTGGCATGGCCCCATTTTCTACTTAGGATGTTTATTAGCACATTTAAGCATTTAAATAGTTCCTATCAGCTGGCCTATACACAGCAGGGGCCGCTTGCCAGGACTGTCCAAAATTCCCATCTGTACAGTTCCTGTATAGAATAAAGCAGATACTTCATTGTGAAGGCAGCTGGGAGTTCAGTCACTTTCTCACATGTCAGTGCATTGTCTCATCCATGCAGGGCCTAGCTGGGGAGGTCTTGGATCACCCAGGCAATTAATGGCTAAGTTGATGGGATGTGTGTATAGGCATAGCCTGATACCCAGCTGCACTACTACTTCAACTACAATTTCCTTCTGATATCAAAATTGTAAGTGAAATTCCATAGATTTTTACCACAGCTGTTTTTATTTTATTTGAATAAATATGTTTGTGCCTGAGTACTCTGTAAGCCTCTATCTTACTTGGAGAATAGATGCCTCTAAGTTTTTCAAGTGTTCTTATGCAGAATATCCTCACCATGGTAGTGGGCCTGTTTTCTTGATCCTGTCCAGGTACAGTATTTCCTGACATCGTTCTCCTCTCTTCTTGTGACTCTTTTCCTTTCACTCTCTGCTTTTCTCTGTCCACATCTCTCACCTACGTGTCATATCTGCCATTTCATGATTGTCTCGTGCCAGATTTTCTGTCTTATTATCTGTAAAAACTCTTCCCTTCAGAAATGTCCTTAAGACTCATTCATCTTCCTGTTGTCTTCTCCAAGGTTTTGGTGTGCCATTCTCATTGTCCGTCTACCCTTTTGCCCTCTGGTCCCGCTTGTTCCTCTTTGAAATGGCTGCTTTCCTCCTGCTTACTGTGGAGCAGACACTTACAGTTGGGGAAGGATGTAACTGTCTTGATGTGCTAGAGTTGCAGCCAAGTTTCAATAAAGAGCACTGAAAATGTGGAGGATCTTCCTTCCCTCAAGCACTCCCCAAGCAATCTGAACAGTCTTCTCCTGCATGGAGCTCTGCAGGAGGGCTGAAGCCACCAGCAAGTGAGGCTACACTGGCTTTCCCCATTTTCCATCTAGTTTAGAACAAAGGAGACTTGTAAGCCAAGCTAAACTAAAACAGTGTCATGTAGATTCAAATCTCCACCCAGTATATGATTCCTGTAGACAGTCTTTTACGATGCCCAGTTCTCTTGCTTTCTAGAGAAATGTGGAAAGGAAAAGTTTTCATGGCAATGTATACTCATACCTGTGAAGTTATCCTTACACTTCTTGCTGATATTAATAGAAGTTATGTGACAAAATCCCTCTACAATATTTATACCTCTTACTAGCTAAACTACCTGTGAACACTAACTTTGGCCTGTATTTAGCTCCTATGCGTTTGAACAATTTAGCGCTTTATGACATTTCAGCACAAGCCACCTTATGTAAATTAGAAATACGAAGAAAATTCACAACAGAGAGTTGAATTTTTGCATTGGTTATTAGTGCATGCTGGGATATCATGCCAAGTTAAATGTAATTATCTGTGTAATTCTAGGCTAGTACTCAAACATGCAAAAGATATATGCCAAGCACTTATAGGACTGCATGTGCACATTACATCCTGTTTAGATGGCATATTGAATACGTAGTACTAACGCGATCAAACTAGTTGCATATAAATTTAAAGTGGCCTTTCAAAACAGATTAGCCCATTCATTAGAAAACATACACAACATTAAAAAAAAAACACAATACAAAGCAAAACAAAACAAACAAAAAAAAAACCCACAAAAAGCTGTTTTCTGTCCTTCTGCTAAGACTTTAAAGTGATTGGCCTCTTCTTACCGGGATTTTTCTCATAATTAAACACGATGGTAGTTGCACATTGTTATTCGGATTTAATCAGAAAGAATCAAACTAGTTATGAAAAGGCTAAGCCACTTCTGTAAAATTATCAGTGGATTAGACATTTTGTAAACTATTTTAATATTAAACTTTTAGGTCATAGAAAGGCAGAAGTAGGAGAAAGTTTTAAATTACCAGGAAACCCTCAGGTGTGCAATATGGTAACTGTGAGAAAAGGTGGAGCATGGAGGATGAGGCTTAGAAAACAAACAAATTAAAAAAGACAAATGTTTTGCAAAGGAATCAGGAACGTGGCAAGACCCAGTGCTGGCAGGAGCCTGCTGGATTGCAGGCTGACCAGCAAGTTGCAAACCCGGCTTAGATGAAGAAGACAGACATGAGAGATGAGACACGGGACAAATGAGGTTAGAGAAGAGAGCTTGGGAAAGCTGGCTCTGCTCCATAAAGGCTTCCAGTATCCCTTCTCGGCTAAGGATAGCTCTGATTTTTACCTTTGAGGTACTCACTGAGAATGGATAGATAAAAAGTCCTTCTGTGTGAATTAAGGAAGTTTTCTTCCTTATGTGCGTTTGTGTATTTTTTTATTAGTTTTACTTGTGAGGTTGGAAGTCCCTTTGGTCCCATGGATTCACCTCTAAATTAAGTAGATATCAAACTGCATAAATCTTTCCTTGTCTTGCTTGGTTTCTTACCTGCTTATTTCCAAACGCAGTTGTCTGGTTTGGCACCAGGTTAATGACATGATGGAAGTGGCTGTTTCCACTGAATAATGCTCAGAGGAAGGTAATAGTTAGAGATGGAGCAGCAGATTATTCCTTCTCAATGGCTGTATATAGAGAGCATCTCTAAAATAATAATACTTTCAAACTGATGTCAATTTTTAGATTAAACTGTTTAAAGTAACATTTGTCTAAGGGAATGTGTTTGGGCCAGTCCTGATTTTATCTGGCTTGATATAAAGCAAATAGCACTAGTATACTTATTCTGATTAGGGTACAATTTTAGCTGCTCTTGCAATATCTCTTTTCTATAAGTTTGCTTTCTGAGTGTCTCTCCACTCTTCCTCGCCTAAGAGAAGTTTGTATATTTATTGGAGATATTGAAATATGCGTGTTGTATTTTTTCTTAGGATTTGAATTTTTTGAAACAAGTGCCAAGGACAACATTAACGTCAAGCAGACATTTGAGCGACTCGTGGATATCATCTGTGACAAAATGTCAGAAAGCCTGGAGACGGATCCCACCATCGCTGCCAGCAAGCAGAACACACGGCTAAAGGACACCCCTCCTCCACAGCAGCCCAACTGCGGCTGTTAATGCAGCTATCAGCAAAGGCAGCTCCAGTGTGTTCTGTTGCCAACAGAGTATTTAGGAATGGTCTATATGCCTTTATTTATACTGTCTTATTAATTTATTTAGGATAAAAGTCAGTATGCATATGGGGATAGAGAGGTTATTCGTTTGAAAGGACGATTAATTATTTAGCATCTGGCTTTTGCATGCAAGGTGGCTATTAGGTTCTCTTTTCTTTTCACTGTTCTACATTACACTTACTTCAGCTGGTGCCATGTCCTCAGACCACATATGCCTAGAATTGACTCTTGCTTCATCAGTTTCAAATTATATAGTTGAATCTTTAGGGTAGTGGCCAAGGTGTTTTAGAATAAGCTTCCTGATGCCACTTATATTTTCTCCTGACTGAAAATCAATTTAGAAATATTCCTCTAGTGAGCTAATCCCTCATTCTGTCCAGATCATTTGTATAAGGGACACTTCCCAGAGCATATTTCCTTGGCAGATCTACACTGATTATGTTACACATCATGATTGACTGCAAACTGCAGAAGTTAGAAAGAAGTTAGTTCCTGAACCAAAAGCCACCAAACTGGCCTGTGAGTTTCCAACTGGGTGTGGATATTCAATGCAGACCCTCAGAGATATTAGGTACTTCATCCTGTTTGGATAGATAATATGTTTACAGTTCCATGGGAGCTACATGTCTATCTAACACCTTTCTTAAACTGGTGTTAATTTCTCATTCCATCATTATGGAGATCCTGGTAGTACCCACCGCAGCGGTGGAAGTCTGACTAGCTCTTTCCATTTCTACCTGCATGAGATAATAAGTACACACTTCTATATTACCCCAACTCCTGACAGAGACAAATCCATTATGCTTAGTTGTTCATAGCCAAAACCTCTCTTGTTACGTTGCTATCAAACCTGCATACTTAAATTGCAGGAATTTCATCTCCCACTCAGTCACTGAGACAGCCATCAGCACACTGGCTACAAACACCTATGTTTTACTCAGACTTATTGCAGAAGTGTTGCTAGTGTCAGTGAACTGAAGTTTGACCTCATTTTTACTTTCATGAGGATATCTATTTTTACAAGATAATGAAAATATCACAAGATTATTAAAACTTTAGGAGCAATAAAAAATTGTCAGCATTTCTAATGTTAGGCTGAATACACTCATAATATCAGCAAAAGGCTATGAAGATAACAGTATAAATTATACAAATTCTTTTTAAATAAAGTGTTAACAATAGTCATATTTCAGAGTTTTTTAAAGTACTCCTCTAGTAATTGGTGGAAGTTTCTTACATCTGCACCCTGGAGTACTTTGTACCACTGCTTTACTTGCACTACTCACAGTGACATTTTTTAAATAATGAGCATAACTGAAGAAAAGTTAATTGGTTTGTTGTTCCAGTTAGACAGAATTTAGGACAAGGCTGACATTTCTTAAACTGTCTGCAATGGGAAAAATCAGAAGATAAATTTAAAAAATGGAGTAACACAGGGTACTGCAAACTGCTCACAACTGAAAAGAAGTTCCTCTACACGCATTACTTTTTTTGAAGGTAATTTATATAACTCCTGAAACACAGTAGGGGAAAATAGTTGCTTTTTTTTTACCTGATAAAATAACCTATATATGCTTTGACACAGTAAAAATTACTTCCAAACAAGGCATATAGACATGTGTAAAATGGATATGCTATCAGGGCGCTCTATTGGCTGCTTAACTTAAATGAATAAGTGCTCTTTCTTCAATCTGAGGTTTTAAACCATGCCTGTCCTGTTAACTAGTTTGCTTAGGCATTTATTTTCCTAGTAGACATGGAGACTGGACTTTACTTGTTTACTTCCATGAAGAGAAAGCACTGTCCTCTTTGGGGCCGATGAGCAGCTAGGTGGAAGAGGCATGTGCTATCCCAAGCATAATCCTGTCTCTCTCCAGGGATGCAGCTTTTCTCTCTCCTATCTGAGACAGCATGTTGATAGCTGTGCTGATAGACTTTCATTAACATGTCTTCACCCACTAGGTACCAGCTGCTTTGGCAAAAGAAGTGGTAAGAAGTTGAGGAAGCTTTGTGTGAGATGGTAGGCAGTTTTCCGTTCTTTTCTTTTTATGCGCAGTTATTTCTGCTAGAGAAAAAGGAGCAGGGAAGGCTTGAGACAGCACTCAGCTTCAGCTCTCAAGTCCTTTAGAAAAGGTGTACTTTGTATTATTAGTCTGAGCTATCTCAGGCAAGGCAAGGAGAGAGGAAGACATAGTCATGTCTTACATGAGCTTGAGCATATCCTGGGTCATGCAGCACGGCTACAAGTGCAAATATTCTTCCAGCTTTGGTCTGGGATGCTTGCTGCAAAAAGGCCATCTCCTGTGCACGTTGTAACAAGCGAAAAAGGACTCCAAGATGCCTCTTGCTACAGGCACACCTTGCTTGTACTCCATTGCAATGAATTCCAGACCCTCCCTGCCTCTTTATGACTATGTAGACTCTAATCAGAGACGGCAATACATTATTAGCATGTATCTTTTTAAACAGATTGAGTGATAGATAAATAGTTCTTTACCTAAATAAGATGAATTAATTACTTTTCATTTCGCATCAAGAGTCTGGGCAGAAGAGTAGCAGCAAAATCACAGAGGGAGAATCTATCCTTTGCTTTTCTGAGACAACTAACTTCCCAGGCTTCCAACATGTCTGACCTTCTTTCTGCAACAGATGAGGAGGATAGGGAAGCAGCTGCTGGAGTAACATTGTTCAATAGACTGCCAGCCATGCGTTTTAAGGAAAAGGCTCATCTGAAGTACAGTAGCAGAACTGTTAAGTATTTAAAAACTCCTGGGATCTTTTTATTGACACTCAGACATTTTCACAGAGTTCAAAATTAATTTTCAGATTAATTTTTAAAGTCTTCACATCAAATCCTTGGAGATTTTCAAGACCAGACTGGCTAAAGCACTGGGCAGACTGCTCAGACCTCTTAGTTGACACCATTTTGAGCAGAAGGTTGGGAAGGATGACCAGCTGATGTCCCATCAAACCCAATAGCCTATCATCCTTTTATCTGACATCAAAAATGTGTGCAAGTTCAAGTAGACCTTTTCTTAAAAATCAGGGTTATCTACTGTTGGAAAAATAGGCTTTGATTTTCCATCACAGGTTGGCTTTTGTAGCCACATGTTTCACAGCAATACTGAGTTTTCTGCTATTAAGTTTGGTCACATTTAGGCCAGGAGCATCATGATCTCAGTACCTCTCTCAGCTGGAACCTGGCTATTGTAGGGAAACACAAAAGACAGAAAGGCTTTTGAGAAGTAACTTACTATCCCTTCCCCAAACATTCTAAAAATTTAGTTTGAATTCTGAGAAAACTAGCAGGATTGGGATTTTCATTCTATTTAAATTTATGCCTTGGCCTGTTTGTATGGTAGGATATCCACAAGCAGCCTGTGCCAGTCTAGTTCGGCTCCTTTAATCTAGTTTGGTTCCTATTGACCTATGTGATAATACTGCAATTTTCTTAAATGCAAGTAGAGTTAGGCTGAACCCTTCTGGAAATCCCATCTCAACCCGATCAAGGGCCAAAATTTAAACAATCAATGGCTAGTTCTGCACACATATCCAATAGTCGCTGATTATGAGTTGTTGGAGGAGACAAGCAGGATTTGTTTAGATCCCTGATCTATCCACTAGTGTAGCACAGTTCTGCCAAGAGAAAGTATCAGGCTAAAAAGAGTTATATTTTAGTGATGGAAAAGGGCTGGATCATTACACTGAAACCTGGGATAAGAGATCCAAAACTACTTTCAGCCTCATCACAATTCTTGGGGAAAAAGTACTCGCACACTTTGCACTAATTTGTTGTCACTCTCAGCACAGAAATAGGACTGAATGTCTTGGAGCCTTATTGGTCCAGCCACAGATAACCCCTTCAGCTGAGGTTTAGACCACTTGGTGAGACACGGCAGTTGACACACAGAACACATTAAATTTCTGAGATTAGAAGCCTTTGGGCAGAGGGTCCTGAGCTTCATAGTGCCAGCTGAACTATTCGTTTTCCAAGTTATGATTGAGACTAAAGCTTTTAGCAGCAGGCTAATCCTGTGCATGGGGAATGCACCAGCCTTATCAAGCTCTGACAGTGTCTTGCTTGCTGCATATTCAAACTAGTGCTCAGAAAATGCCTTTGGAGCACACAAGAGCACAGGATGTGACCAGTTCCTGCGGTGCCTCCTGGCACCACCCTGCCAAACAGCTAGCAAGCCCTGCTGGGTTGAACCTTCAGATATTTGTTTTCCATTCTGACAAGAGTTCATGTTCACAAGCGTTTTGGTCCTTATAGCGCAACTAATTTAATACTGTATCTTTTTTGTTGGTGGTAGTTTGCTTATTTAGACCTGTTTGTTTGGTGTTTGAAATATGAATATGAGCTAGCCTGATTTTCTGGCAAAAAATACTCTCTCTCTGAAGAGCTGTGTGCGTGACTGTTACCTGGAACTGTTTGTTCCTTTGTGCTTAATGTAACGCCTAGAGAAACTACCTGAGCAACTACATCTATGTGGCCTTTCCAGAGCACCAGTCTGAAAGATTTAAGTTTTCTTCCCAGTCTGCTCAGCTCTGTATATTCAACTGTACCACCTGCACCTTCTTTATTTTAGGAATGAAGTGTTATTTCAAGGTGCAGAAAATCTACTGGAGTTTGATCCTAAGTTTGAGAATGCTTTGAGTTTATCATTTTTAGGAAAAAATAGTGGTACAAATTCTACACCTGGTGATGATGCCTTTGTTTCTTCAATAGCAGACGAATGATGCTGCACTTGCATTCCAAAAGAAGCCCCCTTCCCTAATGCCACACACACATCCCCAACTACTATTTTCTATATTCGTGTGTGAGAGGCAAGTTTTATTACTTGCATTTTTAAGAACATCAACAACTAAATCATCATTCTACTGATGGACAGATTCCTCCTTGGCCTGCTTCGTGTAGACAGACACATAGTGTATGAGCCCAGT